ACGGGAAGGTGACATTTGGAGAGGGGCAGGTGTGTTTATCAAACCCGGTGCAGCCTAATCATCCCGGAAAACTTCCCCATCCTTTCTCCGCCCTGTAATTTCCCACTGTTGATGGAAGTGCGTTATGAGCCCGGGCAGGACTGCCAAGGGGAAGCTGTGTTGCCCGGATCACTTATGCTCCAGACACTGGGGGACTTTTGGTGCACGATAAACTTTAGCTTTATTGCCATTAGCAACAATAATTTGAAATTTCACCACTGAATAAAATCTGGAGTTTATTGCCCATACGTAACCTTAACATTTGTACCCCCATAATATGCTGAAATAAAAAAGAAATAATAAAAAATAATAATAAATCTACACTAAAACAAGTAAAACAAACAAACAAAAATCTGGAGTTTAGTTAATAATAATATGCCAACATTGGTTTCTTAGTTTTGACAAATCTGCCTCACTGACATAAGATGTTAACTTTAGGGGAAGAGATGAATGAGGAGTGTGTGGGAACGCTATTGTCTCAGCAACTTTTCTCTACATCTAAAATTATTTCACCTTTATCTATTCATTTATATATTTTTTTCAGAGACTTAGGTCTTACTCTGCCACCCTGGCTGGAGTACAGTGGTACAATCATAGCTCACTGCAGCCTCGAACTCCTGGGCTCAAGTGATCCTCCCCCTTCAGCCTCCTGAGTAGCTGGGATTACAGGTGTGTGCCATTGCACGGGCTAATTAAAAAAAAAATTTTTTTTTAAGAGACAGGGGTCTCACTATGTTGCCTAGACTACTTTTGAATTCCTGGCCTCAACTGATCCTCCCATCTCAGCTTCCCCAGCTGCTGGAATTACAGGTAAAATTAGTTCAAAATAAAAAGATTATTTAAAAAAAAAAAGACCAGGCCAGTTGGGTGGCTCACACCTGTAATTTTGGTGCTTTGGGAGAACAAGATGTGAGGCCTACTTAAGCCCAGAAGTTTGAGACCAGTCTGGGCAACATAGGGAGACCCAGTCTCTACAAAAAAAATAAAAAAATTAGCTGGGCATGATGGCACACACTTGGAGTCCTGGCTACTCGGGAGGCTGAGGTGGGAGGATCACTTGAACCCAGGAGTTTGAGGCTGCAGTGAACTGTGACTGCACCACTGCACTCCAGCCTGGGTGACAGAGCAAGACCCTGTCTCTGTCTCTCTATATACATAAAACTAACTAAATAAATAAAAATTTTAGAAAAGATCAGCTTTCCCCCCTTTCTCTGTGCAGGCTAGTACACTAAGTCCTTTACAAACACTGACCCATTTAGTTTTATAACAGCCCTAGGAGGTAGGCTCCAATCCACATTTTACAGATGAGAAAAGAGGCTCAGCGAGGTCCCTGACGGGGAACACAGACCCCAGGTGGTGGACTCTTGAATTCGGATCTTACCCATCCCAATCAACACGAGCCGACTCGTGTTCCCAGACCACAAATGAAAAAAAGAAAGAGAGTGAGTATACACACACATACATACATATCATACACACACACACACACACACACACACACACACATAGTCTGTCAGGAACTCAGTGTGACATCCTTTCTTAATAAACTTCCCTTTGATCCACTCCACTCGTGCGCTAATGGTCACATGTTCTGCAAGGTAGACTGGCAGTGCCACTCCCTGATCCCCGGACACGGCACCTACATCTACGAGAGGCCCTGGCCCTCCCTGCCTCTGACAGCACGAGTCCCCAGTGGGCGCAGCCTGACACGTACGCACTATCTACCCACTCACTGATAGATTCCTTCACTCGACACTTGTAGAATAAAGAGACAAGAATTATAACCTAGTCAGTGACATGCAAACTGAAGATTCACAGAATTTTAGGTTTGTCGGAGGCCCTGCAGGGTCAATCGTTCCAGAAAAGGTCTTCATCACAGTCATGCCAAGAAGGACTTTAAAAACCACAGATTTCTAGGTTTCTCCCCCAAAGTTCTGATTCAAGAGGGCTGGACAGGGCCTGGCGATCTGCATTTCTCAAAGTCCCTTTCTGGCCGTGGAGCCCCAGTGACCCTGGTGCACTGCCAGGTTTGGGGTTTTGCTCAACAGATAAATCCCTACCAGAAAGGGACTGCCAGCCACTGCTGCAGACCCCGAGGTAGAGGGGCTTCTCTCTGCTACGCTGCACTCGGTCCTAGGAACCCTTTTGCTATATTCAGACAGAGTGTGCTGCTTTGGGAATTTACTATTTTGTTTCCATTTTGTCCTGTGGCATGACTAAGAAGACATTCACCTCCTCTTTCACAGGACTGGCCTGCAGATATTTACACAGAGCCATCGTAAATGGCTCGTTTTCTAAAGTCCTTTCTCTCTCAGGCAAATGCCCTTAGTTCCTCTGATTGTCGTTGTCTTCTTTTTAATGGAATGCACTGTCATCCTGGTGTTGCATTCTGCATGAGCTCTGAGCCTTGAAGTCTGAGGGCCATCCTCTTCCGTGCTCTGGGCTCTTTCTAATGAGGCAGGCCAGGGCGAAGGTTCTTGACCTTGGCTCCACCTTGGAATCTCCGGGAAGCTTTAGAAGATACTGACTACCTCGCAGAGATCCTGATATAACTGGTCGGGGGTTTTGCCTGGTTATCAAGATATTTTAAAGGTTCCAGGTGATTTTAATAAGCAGGCAGTGTTGACAGCTACAGATGTAGAGAGACACTGGTTTCTCTCTTTGTTAGCCTATCGGCTCACACCAAACTCACTGCCACTCGGCCTTTTCCCTTGGAATCCCTGCCAAGCCAGGTGTTCCTCATCGCGCTGGAAGAATTGATTAGCTGAACTTGACTGCAGCCCATTCCACTGAAGCCTGGCAACTGTCATCTATTGGTCTGACGGGTCCACTGTCACAGGGCTACTGCGGGTCATGTCACTTGAGCTGCTTGTTGACTGACTGCTCTCTCCCTAGCTCTGCGTCTTTTACATGTGTCTGGTATCTTCTGTAAAACACGGGCACGACGATGGATCTTTGGAAGATATGCTACTGAAAACCCTCTGGGAATCAAATGACATCCATCAGCTGCTTTCTAAGCAAGTGGTTATTCTTTCGCAGATATGGGCCAGATGCTAAAGACTTATGGTCACAGAAAAATCCATGCGTATGACATTTATTCCTAAAATGAGACGTAGCGGGCGGTTCTCTAAATTTCTCTCCAGTGGCGCCCTCCAGCGGGGGAGCCGGCTGAAGCCTCCACGATGCACCAGATTACTGCAAGCTGGCCACGTCTCCAGAGTTATTTCAATCAACTGCCGCATAGACGGAAACTGCTGTAGTGCCGCCCGCTTGGGCTGCTCAGAGCCCACAGGAAGAGTTAAGACTGTGTTACCACCTGTCTGCCTGGCCAGGACACGGGTGGTTAAATGGGTTCTCCAGAGTTGGAAGGTCTTTGACCTGGTGACGCCACGCAGGACGCAATTGAAAGGCTCCAGGTCAAGTCTGGAAAGCTAAAGTTAGATTTTCTAGAGTTTTTATTTTTAATGTTGAAAAGTGGTATTTCTCCTATATTCGCAATACCAAGACTCTCGCCAGCTAACATGGCATTTTCAATTATTTCCCACTTCCAGGGAGGCTGACCTTGTACCTTGTGTTTCTCTATTCTGGCCGTACTCTGTCCCCTGGGGCCTCTTAGGAAGGCCGGCCACCTCTTTCTCTCAAGGGAGGGCAAATTGCACACGAATTATCCTCCAGGTATGAAAAATGTACAAAGCTAGGTATCACTTAGCGGGACGGGAGAGCTGCCGCTGGCCCCAGCACACTGGTTTCACGAGGCAGGGCAGCAGCTCAGCGCAGCTGCTAAACTGAAACCCGAATGCCACGGTCTGCAATCACCTAAGCCAGCGGTCCCCAGCCTTTTTTGGTGCCAGGGACTGGTTTCATGGAAGACAATTCTTCCATGGACTGCAGGGGCATTGTCATGGGTTGGGGGAGTTGCAGAACTCAGGCTATGGACCGGGGGTTGGAGACCACAGACCTAAGGCATGCCAACCTCATACAGGACTCCTCCTTCGGGCCCTACAGTCACTAGATGCCTGAGACCACTTTACACCAAATTCTCAGCTGAGGTGATGAGGATACAGCATACAGTGGCTTCTATTCCTGCCAATAACACAGTAGAAGCCTTTTGCTGTTTTTTTATGCTGACATTTTTCAAATGCATGTTTAATAGACGATCAACTCCTCATATGTCATAATTGGCTCTAAAAAACCCCATAAAAGTTTTTTGTAGAAGGTACTGTTTTAGGTAAGGGTATATCAGATTTTGCATTCTACAACATACAAAGTTTTTTCAGGTTTTTTGCACCTCCTCCTATTTCTCCCAGATGAATGTTTTATTTTGTATTTAATGGATAGACTTAACATTATTTTTTAACCAGTCTGCTATTGATGGATATTTAGGTCATTTGTCTTTTAATTCTGAATTCTGCATCAGATGTGCATTTGTTCAGATGGAACTTCACACATTAAAATAGATCCTTATGATAAAGCAAGGTAAAAGTGTGTGTGCGTGTGTGATGCACGTGTGTTATATAGGGCTCCACGTTTTTCAAAGCACCTTTTAAACGCTGTGAAATATAATACATAAAATGGCACCAGACACATGTACTTCACAAATGAGTCCAAAGCAAGCATCAGTGAAATACTGCCAATACCCCCCAAAGCCTTCACACGCCTCTGCTCATCACAACCCCACCACCCCTCCAAAAATAACTACTATATTTATTTTGTGATAATCACATAATTATTATGAGAGAAAAAAAATACATCTTGTACAATTGTTAACCAAAGGAAAAAAAATGAAAATGGATCTAAATACATATCTAATTTAACTGAAAATCACTGTTAAGGTTGGCTTGTCTTAAGCCTGCTTCTTTCCTTTCATCTTTGTTCCTGCCTGCTGTTTTTAGGGACAACATAAAAGTAACACTAGAGAGAGAGAGAGGGAACAAAAACCTATCAAATATAGTTGTACTTACCACATGGCAAGTCGTTGCTCAATCTCCTTGAGAAAACTGGTATGAAATTTGTGCAAAGGTTCAAAATTTGGGAATATGAGACTTTTCAATGTTTCCGGCATGGCGTCCTCTTTGCTCGCTGCGCTCTGAAACCACTGGGAACAAGAAGAGGGCACGCTTAGAGGTATAAAGATTAATGACAAATGTCTGCGATGTTTCAGAAGGAACACTGCGGCCACATGTGACTGACTGGAGGACCAAGAGCTTTACTGGTAGGTTCTTAACGTTTCAGGAACACAAGGGCGTCCAAGCCCTACGGCCTGCCCTGTCTTTTGTTTAAATGGTGGGAAAAGCACCCATTTCTACATGATTGCTTCCTGAGATTTGTTATCCAATGACTATTTAAGCCAGGACAAATCTCTTACATGGGCAGCTACTAGAACCAAAACCTCCATTCTGGCCAACGCACTGGATAACCACTAATATATGACAACTGAATACCCCCTGCTTCACTCCTTTAATAACCTCGATCTTCTGTTAAAATGCTGAACATGAAGGTGGCCAAACCAGGGGGATAAAGCAGCCACCTTTGCACAAAGTCGCTCCTGTGGTTGAGCTGGGTTGGGATCGGGTTCCACCACGCTTTCTGAGCACCCCCTGCCAAGGGCCAAACACAAAACACATCCCAGAAGGAACAGAAACTCAATGATTCCAATTTCCCTCCCAACTGCCTAATTCTTTCCCAGAGTCCCGGGGTCAGGAGGACATCTGCAATGCTCTGAATTTGTTTCCAAGACTGAGCAGGACTGATTAGAATAATCAAAGGCATTCTTCTGGCAGACTGCGCTGACATGACTCAATTTATTATTAAAGATAAAATGAGGCCCCTGTTCACCTCTGGAGTCCTCCCTTGAACAAAAATAAGTAGTTACATCTGACAATGGGCAAATATTCTAGACAGGTGCATGCAGACAGTAAAATGTTTAATTTTAATTTTCTCTATCTTGGGAACTTCCTTCCTTTGCAATTAAAATCACAGTTACAAAATTTTTTGTATAGTATATTCCAAGTTAAATACATTATTAGCATTTAATTTCTTTACTCCAGGACCAAAAGACTTTCAATTGAAGTTAGAGAAACCCAACATTTAATTGGCTCCAGCTTCTCTTGTAATGCTGAGTATTAGTTGAGATAAATTATGTAATTTAATGCTGTAGGGGAAACGGCGCACATACCGAAGTGATGACTTCAAGATCTTTCAGATATGTTCGCTCGGTGGTGGATACTTCTTTAGCAATGAAGTATGCTTTGTCAGTTGGGAATCTCTGTAAAATCCATCACAAAAACCAAGACTCAGTAACCATTTTAGTATAAGTCTCTAAGAATGCCCTGATTAAAGTGATGTATTACTAACTGGAGATCTTTTTTTTTTTTTAGCTAGCATCAGGCTAAATAAACTCTTATTTATTCTTTTGGCGTTAGAGAAACTAGAATAAAAGAATGGATTTCCAGGATGAGAATACAGTCTAGGAAGGTTTCCTCCCAAATAAATATCACCATCAGCAAGGGGACTCGGATTAGGAAAATGCTAGAGGGATGCAGTCTGCAAGGAAACACAGGAAAGATACTCCATTGCGTTCTTTGTCCTAGTGCCTTGGACTGGCAGGGTTGGTGTTTGTGAAATATAAGTAACTTTGCAGGAACACAGGTGGCTGGATCTAAAGGGACACGGGCAAGATCAGCTGATGACAGCATGGTGCCTCAGTTCCCTGAAGCCTGTCAATTAGGTAGGCAACCGGCACCACAGTAGAGCGGGGTGGCCATTGGGTTTGCTTTCTCTTTCAATAGTAAGTCCACGGAAGTCGCTGTTGCCTGCCTTCTTGCTCACTTCCCTAAGAGCCCACCTGATTCCACCGCTGGGTTCCTACACAACAGAACCGAAAGGCCTGAACATCTGTGTTCACAGCTGCATTATTCACGGTGGCCAAAAGCCAGGAACGGCGTAGCCGTCCACTGACAGATGCATGGGTAACAAAACGTGGTCTATACACGCAAAGGAGTGTCACTCAGCCTTAAAAAGGAAGTCAGCTCTGACCCAAGCTAGACCATGGATGAAGCTTGAGGATGCTACGCTAAGTAGAACAAGCCAGTCCCAAGTAGACAAACACCACATGATTCCACTTGCTCTAGGTACTGAGAGTAGGCAAATTCATAAGCCGGGTGACAGGGAGGGATGGGGAATTAGTGTTTAATGGGTGCAGAATTTCTGTTTGGAGACAGGTGGTAGGGATGGTGGCACAACAGTGTGTATGTGCTTCATGCCACTGAACATAAAGTACATATGTACTTATGTATATATGTACATACCGTGTTTCCTCAAAAATAAGACAGGATCTTATATTTATTTCTCCTCAAGAAGATACCCTAGGGCTTATTTTCAGGGGATGTTATTTTTTTTTAAGTACAATACAACAATCTACATTTATTCAAATATAGTTAAGTCGTCTTCTCCTGGAACATCATCATAACTCTCCAAACCCCGAATTTCATCCTGAATTTCTTAAGACTCTATTTCCTTTAGAACCATTGGCCCCAATCTCTCATGTCGAGCAATAGAGCTCTCATGGGCAGATGAGAAGGGCTGCTCATCTTCTTTACCGCTCTGCGACGAAACGCATGGGTTGTGCAGACGCGCTGCGTAGCCACGCCCATCACTAGGTCTTATTTTCGGGGTGGGGCTTCTATTGCGCAAATGCTTAGAAACCCTGCTAGGGCTTATTTTATGGGTAGGTCTTATTTTCGGGGAAACACAGTATGTACACTTGAAAATAGCTAAAAGGCACATTTTATGTTGTATCTTACTACAATTTAACCCCCCCCCACATGCACACACATACACCCAGACAACGCCCCCCACCTGCACCCCGAGCACCTTTCTCCGGCCGTCCTCCTCGTCGTCCGTCCTCGGGCAGGCCTGGTCGTTGAGCAGCGGGCTGATCAAGGGAGAGGCCTGCTTGGTGTCGGGGCTCAGGTTGGGAGACAAGGTCACGTTGGCGGGGCCAGCTCCTCCCTGCGAGTTGACGGACAGCTCTGAAAGGTGAGGGCTACCAGTCAGGGAGCCTGTTTGGGGATGAGAAGTTTTAAAGAAAAGAAAAAAAAATCATTTTTTCTGGGATCTGATTTCTATTCACTACTTTCACCTCTCCAAACCTTTAGAACCTTGACTACCCTCTGGCAAATTTAGTACAATTCATTATTTTCTAGTTTCTTTCCTAAGTTGCAGTTGCCTTAACATTAAAGACACCAAAGTATGAATAATTCAACGGAGCCTGGGTTACATAACTAAGGATAAGATGGAGAACTCTGCTTAGATAATTAGAATAGCTTAAAAGCATAGTGTATCCCAAAATAGTATTTTCATCTCCCAACTACTGCCTTTGCTTCTAAGAATTACTCAGGAAAGACACAGTATCTATATCACAACGAGACAGGGAGGAATGACTAGAAAATAGGACTATACTAACAGGCATCTAAGCGACTGGCATACCTAGGACACACTACGTCTCATAACAGTGGGTCACAGCTAACAGAAAGGTCAAGCAACTACCTCTCATTCTACAAAGGACAGAAGTAAGCTTGTTATACCTGGTGATGTCCTTCCATGTCTCTCACTGTTTGGGACAGAAACACTAGCGTCACATGACAGGCAAAGGTGATCACTCAAAAATGCAAAGGCAGAGGTCGTTACATTATCCCAATTCCCCTTTATGAGTCAAAAAATGACAGGTAACTTAATTAGTCCTTGAAAATGGACGCTATGGTAAACAGCATGAACATGCATATATTACCTATCACGAGTCAGCCAAGGGGGATGATGGGTCCAAGATACTTTAATAATTTTGCAAATGTCTAGACCTGCATGGGATGTTGCCAATCATAGGAATAACTTCTAATCGAAGTGCTTTCATCGAACACTTATGTTTATGATCCTAATGCAGATTTGCTAGAGCTAGTCTCAGGCAAGCACAGTTAGGGTAACCTGTAGCCCCATCTGTTACCACCGTAAGGAAAGACATGTCAATGCTTCCCTATTTTCCAGTGTAGTTTCGGCGTCACTGCTACTCTGCACCCTGGTAATGAGCCCCAAGGGCAAGGTGAAGGGCAGTTTCCCGGGAGCACCCCATTTTCTTGACATCTATTCTCCCCCTCTGGAGTATTCACATGCATTTTGCAAAGACAAGATCCAACAGCTTAGAGTGGAGCTGAGGAAGCAGGGGCAGTGACTTTGATGCCTCCTGTGTGGACGCACTGGGGAGAAACCGCCACCAGCCCCCACCCTGGTCCCTGGTTGACCAGTTAAGCTGTGTCACCAACACAGGGTGGGGAAAAGCCACCACACCCGGAGCTCAACAAGAAGCAGATGTACTGCACACCAACTGCTGGTCAGTAGAATGACGGTTGAATAACAAGATTAGAAAATGTGAGGAAAAAGGCAGGTAAAGTTTGCATTTTAAAAATCCTTCTGCTTTTAAATCCTTGCATTTTTTTCTTACACCTCACTAAAATGAAGTCCTGTGTCAGACAAAGACCCCATCACCCCACACACCACCAGACCCAGAAAACCCCGGAGAAAAAGGCCAGAAATTGCTTCACAAATGTCAATTTTATTGACACTAGTGCACAACTGAATACAATAATTGCAAAAGAGTTGGAACTTGTCATATAGAAATAGAATGACAACAAATCAGAACTGCAATCGTTTCAAGGTGCTACACTATTCTCTTTAAAAAAAAATCACAAAAAGTCAAAGTTTATCACTACATATAGGAATTAGGAAAGAGAAAATCTGGCAGTCTGTCTGGAGATCAAAACATTTCATGCATTTGTGAGTTGCCGTTTGAGAGTCACTTCTTGCTTGTCCACCGTGATCCGGCAAAACCCGGGGCTTACCTTCAGCTCTCACGCTGTGCGCGAGATCGGGTGAGGCAGTGATAAATGAGGGCATGCTGGGCCGTGACCTTGCAGGGGGCGTGGAACAGAAAAAGCGTCACCTCGTCATTGAAAGAGTCGGAGAACAGAAAGGAGTTAGAAGGCGACCGTGAGGGGGGCCCCGGTGCGAGGAAGCAGTAACAATCAGGACCTGGTGGCGACCCTCAACAGATAGGAGACAAACTGCCACCCAGCAAGGGAGAAACGAGGGTGCACAAGCTCAAACGCAGCCGCTTCCACTCTCGCAAGGTCAAAAGCTATTGCCCTTACTGCACCCTCTGGGAGCACTCATATTCAGGAGACTGAGAAGGCTGAAAGGATGAGGTCACAGACTAGGGTTCCTGGAGAGGTGCCGCCTGCCAAGAAGGCATGACCGTTCAGAGGAGAGAGTCATATAGATTTGGAAGACTCCCTGTCGGGCCATATGGGAGACGGGAGGTACAACACACAAGGCTGAATGGGAACTTCACAGTCCCCCATGCGCCCAGGGAAAGCTGGGGACAGGGAGCATCAGCCCATGGGATGTTGGGGGACAGCCTCCCACATGTCACTCCCGCAGCTTCAAGACGAATCCGCCACCTACTTTACAGCTGCAATATGCGGGCTGGGGGATACCAAGTCAGGTGGTTACTTTCCCTTTCCCAAGAGGCTACTTCTAGCTGGCACTGTGTACATTCCCTGCCAAAGGGCGATGAGTGTAGTTAAACAGTAAGACCAATAAATCAATAAATATCAAGCAGTCTGGTCTAGAACTCTACCTGCAATTCTAAGGAAGGGAAAGGTCTGAAACTCTGAAGTTCAATTTTGCTGACTTGAGCTGCATCCCTGGAGAAGCAGCCCTCTTCTCTCTTTGCAAGTGAAACTACTCAAGGCTTGGAAAACGTATGGGTGACATGGTCCAAACCAAAATACGTAGAGCTCATTTACTATCCAGCAATTAAGGAAATAGGTCGACAAGGGCAATTAGAATTTGGCAGCTTGATGAGTAATTAAAATTCTCTTTTGACTCTGAGCCAGAGTATGTGGCAACAGTCTGTACAAACTGGTGTCCACACCAGCAGGTATGAAAAGCCATGCCTATGGAGAGCCAATGTCCAAGGTCACAGAGTGACTGGAACTACACAGAAGCGATTTTCACTGAAGTAGTCCATTTTACAAAGAAGTAAACAAAACATGGTTTTGTCATTAGATAAAATGAGCCCAATTTGATTTATACAGCTTTATAAGGCTGTTCACATCTTGCTGTCTGTCACCTGCTTTGAAGGCACAGCCCCAGGCAATGGGGAGAGGAAATTGTGACTGACATTCATTGCTACTCAATAACATTATTAATGCCTTGGTTTATTTCTATCACTTTTTCCTCTACGACAAATTAACACAAAGTAATTTCTTTCATCTCCAGGTAGATAATTTTGGGGGACCCTATGGGGAAGCACCTGAAATTAAGGCAATAGATAGAAAATAGTTTAAAGAGATTAGAAAAAAGACTGGTTATACCCTGAAAGTCTGGAAGCTTCTAATGTTTTAAAAATTATTATTCCCTGTTTCCAAAAACTGCCCTGCATTTTTTTAGGCATTCATTTACATTTCAGTTTAATAGCTCTCAAATCCTTCACCTCTTCCCAACGATTTCATGACACCCCCACCCCTGCCCCATTAATCTATATGAAGAGGTTTGAGTTTACACCGTCCCCATGGACTGGAAATGCCCCTATTAATACTGCTCCCAAGGGAGGTATTTCTAGTAATTGCTTTTTAAAGTCCTTTTAAATGTACACATTCTCATGGCACAAACAATTATGGAACTTCAAATTATCACTGCTATATTTATGGATTTCAATTTATCACCCTGCCGAGAAACTGGCTGAGCTGTTCTATCTTTTTAATTTAAAATACATTCATCATTCTTCCCTCCTGCCTGCTCCAGGCATCACCCGGACTGCAGCACTGCTCCATCCGCTCTGCAGCAGAGGGACTGAAACACGCTGGGAGGAGCCTTATCATCAGCGGGACAGTCTGTGTCTTTCTTCCTTCTCCGGGATTGGACACAAGCTGCATCTTACTCGCCTGCCTATAAAAGCTTAAACACAAACTCACTCAATTCTGGAAAAAGAAAAACGTTTCCATGCTATCTTTCAAGTGATAAAAATGGCACTTCCAATACTTCATTGGACCTGTATTGTTTTTTAAACTGGTCAATAAGTCGTTCTTTTTTTTTTAACTACACAAGGTGTTATGAGAATATTGATGAAAATGAGAATTTGCTTTCTCAATTTCTTTCAAAATTTTAAAAGGTGCAATTATAAAAAAGTATCTGTGCATTTTCTTCAACATTGTCCCCAATAAAATTATTTATTTTGCAAGCTTCCAGATGTCACTTATCTATCCTGATTTAGCTCCTGTTATTTGGTTCTAAAATATAGGAGATTTTTATCTCTATGTACCTAGAACCTGGTCCAGAGGCACATGCAAGAAATACATCAGAGATGTAGGTATTCATCTATTTTTTTTTAAAGGCTCTATTTAAATCCATAATCTCTAAAAGAATACAATGAAATCTCTGAAGAGATCATCTGCATTTGAAAGCCTGTTGTCAAAAACACGAGCAGTATTATGCTGAATAAGAGGCAGTCTTCTGAGCAGGCAGGGCTCCCTACAGTCTGGTATCTAAGCTGGGACCCCAGCCCAGTGGACACAGCGTAGAAAGCTGGCAGTATTTTATTGAAATGACAAAGTTCCGCATGAAAAAGCAGGTTATAGGATTACCAATGTTAGCGGTGTTGTCCTCTTCTTGATACCCTTAGGGTGGCTGAGGGTAATGTGTATATGCTTCTTACACCCAGTTCCTTTAAGAAAAGTTTTACAAGCAGCTAAGCATCGACTTCCCAGTTCATTATCAAGCAATTCAGAAAAGCAACAGCGATGCCACTTGCAGAAAAATAAAGAGAGAGAAATGCACTAATGGGAGAATGGTAGTGAACGCACCAGCGTGGTTTTAGTCATAGGGAAGAGACAAAGGAGAATGTGCTTCTGTTTGAACATGGTGGTGACGGTGGCGGGGGGTGGCAGCAGTGTTTGGGTTGGGGGACGTGGTGCTTCGTACCAATGAAAAATACCATCTTGTACTCGGG